ACATCATTTTATTTAAAAACTAAACATTTTGTTATGAATAAAAATGTAATCTTTAACAAAAATGAAAATGCATTTTAAAAAGTCACAGATATGGTCACCATTATGTTGTGCAATCCTGCTTTTCATGTTAAGTTTTCCTGTGTAATGCATTTTTCACCTCAAATGCATGTCTTTGCCTGTTTTTCAGGACGATCGACCGCTCCGTGTTCAAACCCATCGTTCAGATCGCAGTAATTGATCGCCCAGAGTCGTCAGACTGTCAGCTGTTGGCCGTCACTCATGCTGGTATGATTTAGAAATGGAGACTCCAATGCATCTTGGGTCTGTATCTTCTCTAAAGGCCGTTTCGCACTGAGCGTGATGCAAATTGCCAACGAATGTTGCTTTCACTAATTCACGCCTGCATGCTACGTGGCGCCAACCAGCAATGCATTTTTCCTCATGTAGCCTAAGTACCGTATCGACCCGAATATAAGACGATGTTTTTTTCTTGGAAATACATCTGAAAAAACACGGTCGTCTTATATTCAGGGTCTAGACTTTGACATGTCAATAATACACCCACAACAATAGGTGGCGCCAAATACGCATAAAACGAGTGTGCCATGAAATACGTAATGTAATGCGTGTTGTAAAGATCGCGAGTAAAAACGAAAGAAAAAGAAAAGCTTACAGCTGCATGAGTCATGACGGTCACGTTAGTCTGATGGGACCAAACTCTTTGTGATTTTAAAACGTAAGACAGTACCCAGATTTGAAGACTACAGTAAGATTTAACTTCTACTGTTAATAAGATTTTGGTAGGCTACTATTAGATGGATAGCCTAAATGTCCTATTTCAGATGGGCTACCTCTTTTTTTTATTTTATTTATTTTTAATTTTTTTAATGGTATATCAACAAGTGTATATTGTTTTTAAATGTGATTGTTGGTACATTTTACCAGTTTTACCATACTTTCAAAACAAAAATTTAAATAGGACAAATATGCAATATGAAAATAATTGAAGACAAAATGTGTTTTAATGAGAAAAAACAAGATTTGGTTTTTAAAAAGCCTTTTTCCCAAAGGTACATCTGGAAAAAGGGGGGTCGTCTTATAATCAGGGTCGTCTTCTATTCGGGCCAATACGGTATCTCGTATATGGCTTTTACATCGTCCACTGCTCAATATACAGCATTACATTTAGGGTGTATTCACACCTCTCTTGTTTGGTTCGATTGAATCAAACTCAAGTTCGTTTTCCCCTCTTGGTGCGGATCTTTTGGGCAGATGTGAATACAGTAATCACACTCGAGTGCGGACCAAACAACCGTACCGAGACCCAGCCGAAGAGGTGGTCTCGATCCGCTTCCAAACGAACTCTGGTACGGTTCGTTTAAGGTGTGAATATGACCCGACCTCGATCCGACCCAAGTGCAGAAATTACGCTCAGAAACAGACAGCTTGCGCATGTAGTGCTGTTATTTGCGTTTCAATGGCTTAAATAACTTGTTTTTAAACCACAATGCTTAAAAACACATGCAAATGATGAGTTTTCATGACCATGGCGTACAGCCACTAAATAGGCTAAAGCTTAATTTATATGTTGGGGGGAAATAGTAAGGAGATATTTGAATGATCTATTAATAAACTAGTGTTTTCTGAGTCAGTGTCGCAAAAATGAAATTGACGATCCTGACTTGCCATCTCATCATTGGACGCGCCTTTAGAAAGAAATGCATCTTGGATTACATAATGAAAGCGTTTTTGTTTTGGATTTGAATTATTTCGTTTTGTAGTCATTTAAAGCTTTCTATAGATATATTCATCATGTCTGTAAGGGAAATATTCGCTGCGTTTCGGTGCATTTTTGTGAAGCGTTCCTGCTCAAGACCGAGACGGCAAGTGCAACCTATTTGTTTTCTTTATTTTACAAAAGAACCACAATGCTTAAAAACACATGCAAATGATGAGTTTTCATGACCATGGCGTACAGCCACTAAATAGGCTAAAGCTTAATTTATATGTTGGGGGGAAATAGTAAGGAGATATTTGAATGATCTATTAATAAACTAGTGTTTTCTGAGTCAGTGTCGCAAAAATGAAATTGACGATCCTGACTTGCCATCTCATCATTGGACGCGCCTTTAGAAAGAAATGCATCTTGGATTACATAATGAAAGCGTTTTTGTTTTGGATTTGAATTATTTCGTTTTGTAGTCATTTAAAGCTTTCTATAGATATATTCATCATGTCTGTAAGGGAAATATTCGCTGCGTTTCGGTGCATTTTTGTGAAGCGTTCCTGCTCAAGACCGAGACGGCAAGTGCAACCTATTTGTTTTCTTTATTTTACAAAAGCACAACGTTTTCTTGATATTGTGAGTGCACACAAATAAAAATAGACCCTTTACAGTTCCGAACGATGTATTATTCTTACCTTTATGAGTATAAATGACGGCTTATTTAATTTGTTTCCACCTTCAGCTTCCATTCTAATGATTGGATATGCGCCTAATAGCACACATTTATATAGGCAAAGCAAGTGAACTAGTGGACTTTCCTGGTGTGAATACACCCTTAGATAAATAACTTTTGGTTCTTCATCAGCACAAACTATCCATAATGCTTTGAAGAAAATATAATTAGAGGTACAATTAGCATCAAGCTACATTTCAAAATGTATGTAATGTTTTTGCTCAAACCACACTTTAAACGATCATCGAGTGCTTGTAATAACTTCTGATTGTGATCTAAAATGGATTTTGATTCTATAATACCTGGTGCTTGTCATTTGTCGTAAACATCCTTTATTGTTATAAAAATACTCTGAGCTGCATAAAAACACATGCACATTTATGAATATAAATATATCTCTATGTTCAGACACCAACGACAACAACATCTCGTGTGTGGAAAGGTCTTAAATTGTGTTTCTGTGTGTCGTGCAGGTGTGCGTCTTTACTTTAGCACCATCCCTTTTGCTCCTCCGAACGCCAAACACATCTCGGCCCGGCCCTGCTTGCTGGCGCTGGTGCATGTGCGTCTGCCACCCGGATTCTCTGCGTCCTCCACCCTCCAGAAACCGGCTAAAGTTCACAAGGCTCTCTACAGTAAAGGAGTTCTGCTGATGGCCGCGTCTGAGGCAGAGGACAGCGACGTTCTGTGGTGCATCAACCACGATTCCTTTCCCTTTAAAAAGCCCCTCATGGAAGCTCAGGTCAGAGATGTTATTTATTTTAATTTTTTTGTGCAAGCTTGTTTTCCACCATGGAATAGTTGATATTTCTCAGTTCCCACTTTTTTTTTTATCCTCACAGTTCTGAGAATTGTGAGATATTATCAGTTTATTGAACTGTATAACATGGAATGTCGTGGAATTTATCAGTTTTGGTTGAATAGATCAAAAGTACATGAACTTCATCTCCAGAACTGCTCTGAGAGTCACTTTGAGTATTTTACATTTCATTTAATTTCATTTCAAGGTCTTCACGGCAACCCGTCAAAATAAAAGTTTGTTGAAATTGTGTTGAACTTGAAATTGTGATATAAATATATTACTATGGTACAGTAGAATGTCTTAATGTAATAATAATAATAATAGTACTAATGATAAATTAAATCTTAATTTTTTTAAGGAATAATCAAATTGTTTTCATCCATGTTTTAATTTTAAGAGTAAACATCTGTTATGCAGCACTTTGCTTGCCAGAAAGTTAAAGGGTTTGTTTAATTGACTAAAAGATACTTTTTTTTTTGATTGCCAGAAAAATTTAATTTTAATTCTAATGCTTAACACAAAATTTCTGGAGGAAAAACAAACAGTTCATAGTGCCGTAAAAATTTAATTTTTGTTAGAAATAGTTGTTGCTCTATAAGTTTCATTATTTTAATTAATTAGATACTTTTTATTACCAAAAAAAATTGAAGTTATCATTTAAATTAATTAGACACTTAATGAAATTGTGATTATAAAAAATTTAATCAAACCATTAAAATAGAATTTTGGTAAAAAAACCAAAACAGTGCACTAAAAATTAAATTTTTTGTTCAAATTAATAAATTGCTTTATTTTGTAAGTTTCATGATTTTAATTAATTAGACAGTTTTTGATTACTAAAATTCAATTTAACCATTAGAACAGTCAATAAATATCAAAACGGAATCCAGGAAAAATAAAAGGGGGGGAAAACAAATTTAGAAAAAAAAAATTAACAACTGAAATTAGGTAAAAATAGATTTGTGAGATGAAAAGTCACAATCAACCCTCTACGGGCACCTTGGCAATTGAATCGCCTTTGGCTAGTATATTTTTTTGTTTACTCGCCAGACTGAAATACTATACTATACTACTGAAGTTCTTAACAATTGTTTTGATTTATTATTAATTTGTAATTATTTAAAAAAAATGTCCTGCTTATATGATTTAATAAAAATGCACAAAATAAATTTGATATAATCGTGATGCATCGTGATCGTGAAACCAGTAACGATTCACACCCCTACTGTATTTCAGACCCTTTTTGTTATCTTTTTTTCCTGTTATTCTAAATATAGAATATCATTTTATTAATAATAATAATCCGATCAGATCATAAAAAGTGAATGTTGCACAAGTGCCGTTTTATGAATGTGTGTTTTTTGCTGTTGTGTGTAAATATGTGGTTGACTCATCTCGACTCATTAGGCATGTTCCCGCCGACCGTGTCGACGCCTTACATCCCAGCGACTCCCATGAGCATGAGCGGCGCGGTGTCGTCTGGACCCGAGGTCATCTTCTCTGGAAAACACAACGGCATCAGTATCTACTTCACGCGTATACTGGGGTCAGTCAGTGTTACGGTCAAATACAGGCGTTTGTGACTTCTGAACACTTGTGCAAAACGATTAATCGATTCAAAATAGAAACGCTGATTCTTTGCATTCATTTTTTTTAATGTTGATGCTTTAAAACAGGAACATCTGGGATGGGAGTCTTTCGATGGAGACCACCATAACCAAAGGCAGGCAGACTGTGACTATTGTGAGTGATGCCAGATTTTGATGATAAATTATTTGTGCGTTATTTTTTTTTGTTTGTTTATTATGAGTAATGACCGATTTTTGAGCATTTTTACAATAATGCTTTAGTTATTTTATTTCGTTTTTATTTATTTTGTTTTTTTAGTAAGCACAGATTTTGAAGTATTTAAAAAAAAAAAAATAGTTTTTATGTATTTATTTGTTTTGTGAGTAATTGTAGATCTTTCTTGGAGCATTTTACAGTAATGCATTATTTTGACTATTTATTTGTTTATTTTTAGTGTCTGATTTTTTTTCTTTTAGCATAAATGTTGTAAGCATTATTCGTTTTTTTATTTTTTGAGTAATGCCAGATTTTTATGAAAATGATTTGTGCGGTTTTTTATTTTATTTATTTGTTTATTATGAGTAATGACCGATTTTGGGGCATTCTTACAAAAATGCAGCTTTTTGTTTTCATTAATTTTGTTTATTGTGAGTAATTACAGATTTTTGAACATTTTTACAATAATGCTTTAGTTATTTTATTTTCGTTTTTATTTATTTAATTTTTTTAGTAAGCACAGATTTTGAAGCATTTAAAAACAAAACTGTTTTTATGTATTTATTTTGAGAGTAATTGTAGATCTTTCTTGGAGCATTTTACAGTAATGCATTATTTTGACTATTTTTTTATTTTTAGTAGTGGCAGATTTTTTTTCTTTAACAAAAATGTAAGCATTATTAGTTTTATTTTTTGAGTGATGCCAGATTTTTATGAAAATTATTTGTGCGTTTTTTAAAAATTTGTTTGTTTATTATGAGGAATGACCGATTTTGGGGCATTCTTACAAAAATGCTGCTTTTTGTTTTATTTATTTTGTTTATTGTGAGTAATTACAGATTTATGAACATTTTTACAATAATGCTTTAGTTATTTTATTTCGTTTTTATTTATTTAGGTTTTTTAGTAAGCACCGATTTTGAAGTATATGTATATGTATATATGTTTATGTATATATGTATATGTATATATGTTTATATGTATATATGTTTATATGTATATGTATATATGTTTATGTGTGTATATATATATATATATATATATATATATATATATTATTTTTTTTTTTGTGTGAGTAATTGTAGATCTTGGCGCATTTTATTGGCGCATTATTTTGAATATTTATTTATTTTTTTAGTAATGGCAGCTTTTTTTCTTTAACAAAAATGTTGTAAGCATTATTTTTTTTTTTTGAGTAATGCCAGATTTTTGCAGCAATTTTACATTTTTGCTCTGCTTGTGTTCCAGAGTTTTTGTAACAATGTATTTATTTTTTTTTGCTTGTCTTATTTTTTAGTTTTTTTTTTTTTTGTCAAGCTTCGTTTTTCTTTCAGTTTATTTTTATTCATTCATTTTGACTTTTTTTTTTAATTTTTTATTAATATTTAACTTTTTTAGTTAGGGTTAGTGTTTTTCATTAATTTTTTTAGCCAATCAGAAAAAGACTTCTGCCAGTCAAACATTTAGTTTATTCGCAACATGCCTGAAATCAGTTCCAGCCGCGCTCTGTGTATTTCTCTGATGATGAGCTTTGGTTTTAGCTGGAGAGCACGGCCAGTTCATCTGATCTGGAGGTCGTACTGCTGGAGCTTCAGGGTTTGAAGGAGTTCCTGGACAAAAACTCCCAGTTCAGTCCGACTTCTCTGGGTGTGGGCAAGTAGGTGCCCTTCAGATCCTCTCATGGTCATCTTGTAGTAATGCACGCTGGGTTTCTAACTCACTTGATCTCTTCAGTTTCAGCTCAACAGCAGATCTATCATTTATTTAAATAAATCAAACATAGTTATTTCTTTAGTTTGTAGTTTTTTTTTTATTAATTCATTTAGAATTTAGTTTTTTTTTTAAATTCATTTACTAATTTTCAGATATGTTGTTATTTATCATTTTTTTTATTTGTTTTTTTTTTAAATACATTTTTAATAAGATAATTAATACAAATTATATTTGTTCTATAAATATATGTATTTTAAAACTTTATTTAGTATTTAATTAGTTTTATTTACTAATTTTCAGTCATATTTATTTATTAACATTTAGTTTGTTAAACTGTTAAAAATGTTTATATATTTTATATAAAATTTTATAAGATTTTATTTTCTATAAATATATATTTTTACTGTATTTTTTTAATAAAAAAATAGTTTTTGTTTATTTAGTATTTGATTTGTTTCTTTACTAATTTTCAGTTATCTACTTATTAACTTTTAACTTAATATTTAGTTATTTATTTTTTTAAATGTAATAAAATGTAAAATAAAAATTATTTATATTCTATAAAAAATAATTAGTTTTTAGTTATTTAAAAATGTTTTTTTAAATATATTTAGTAAATTATTTTTATTATTATTTATTTAAAAACTAAAAATATTGAAATACTTTATTATTGATCTTCATTCCATTTTTTTGGTTCCTTAATTTTATGAACAATTGTTTTATTACCTTAAAAGAAAATACATAACCATAACTATGCTTAACCATAACTCACTTGACCTCCTCAGTTTCAGCTCGCCAGCAAACCTACAGCAAAGGCTTCTGGGATTCATGCGGCCCGATGGCTCCAGCTCTCAGCAAGTGCAGCAGGAGCTCCAGAGGAAGTACCACAGTGAGTTTCAGTGAGTTTCTGTGTATCTGTGAGCGCTCAGGTGTTCACCATCTCCTCATGTTTGCTCCTCAGCGGAGGCTCAAGCGTATGAGAAAGCGTCTCTTCAAGCCATGCAGCAGTTGGTTCATCGCTCCTATCAGACGCTGGCGCTCTGGAAACTTCTGTGTGACCATCAGTTCAGCCTCATCGTCTCTGAGATGCCCAAAGTACGACCCATTGCTCTCTGTTACCCCTCGTGCTTTCTCGAATATGAACAGTAGTGATGTTTTTTTGCACCCTCAGATTCCAGATTTTCAAATAGTTGTATCTCGGCCAAATATTGTCCGATCCTAACAAACCATACATCAATGGAAAGCTATTTATTCAGCTTTCAGATGATGCATACATCTCAATTTTGAAAAATTGACACTTTAAGACTGGTTTTGTGTTCCAGGGTCACATATTGTAAAACAAGATACAAACAAGATAGCTGAGATACAACTATTTGAAAATCTGGAATCTGAGGGTGCAAAAAAATCAAAATTGCACTAGATAGAATAATTTAACTTTAAAATGTAAACCTTTTTCATTTGTCTTTTTTTTTTTTAAATTTAAATATCACAATAAATATCGCATCGTGGACTTCATATCGTGATATTATCGTATCGTGAGATTCCGATATCGTTAAATCCCTAATGATTGGTTTTCTTTCTCTGTCAGGAGTTTCAGGACCAGATTAAGGCTGTGAGTTTTAAGGATGTGGTTGTTTCTGGACGCGAGCTGAGTGGCGCTCTCGTCACCGCCCTCATTAACGTGTACATCAAAGACAGCGCGTGTGTAGACACCGTCAGCGCTCACCTGAGAGACATCTGCCCTCTGCTGTACAGCAGCGACGACAGCATCTGCTCCAAGGTACCTGTGCGTCTCAATGAGACTCCAGTCAGACGCCACACAAACCACGAACACATGGAGACACAAAACAAGCTGAGGAAAATAACTTAAAAAAAAAAAACTTTTAGTTTTTTTGTGTTTTTAGTTTAGTTATTTTTAATTACTCAAAAAATATGTTTTTTCTGGCATTACTCAAGAATAAAAAAATAAATAATGCTTATTTTTGTTAAAGAAAAAAATCTGCCACTACTAAAAATAAACAAATAAATAGTCAAAATAATGCATTACTGTAAAATGCTGCAAGATCTACAATTACTCACAAAACAAATAAATATATAAACATTTGTTAATTTATTTAGTGTAGCTATTTTTATTTATTGTTTTTATTTGGCTTATTTTTTATTTTATTTTATTTTTAATGTATTACTTTATATATAACTTTAGTTTGTATTTTTTTATCTAAGTATTTTATTTTCTATGTTTCGGTATATTTAGTAATGTTTAATTTATTTGTTTTTATTTTTTTCCTTAATTTTATGAACAATTGTTTTATTACCTTAAAAGAAAATACATAACCATAACTATGCTTAACCATAACTCACTTGACCTCCTCAGTTTCAGCTCGCCAGCAAACCTACAGCAAAGGCTTCTGGGATTCATGCGGCCCGATGGTTCCAGCTCTCAGCAAGTGCAGCAGGAGCTCCAGAGGAAGTACCACAGTGAGTTTCAGTGAGTTTCTGTGTATCTGTGAGCGCTCAGGTGTTCACCATCTCCTCATGTTTGCTCCTCAGCGGAGGCTCAAGCGTATGAGAAAGCGTCTCTTCAAGCCATGCAGCAGTTGGTTCATCGCTCCTATCAGACGCTGGCGCTCTGGAAACTTCTGTGTGACCATCAGTTCAGCCTCATCGTCTCTGAGATGCCCAAAGTACGACCCATTGCTCTCTGTTACCCCTCGTGCTTTCTCGAATATGAACAGTAGTGATGTTTTTTTGCACCCTCAGATTCCAGATTTTCAAATAGTTGTATCTCGGCCAAATATTGTCCGATCCTAACAAACCATACATC